ATTACCCGTATATCTGCAATAAAAATCTTTTGCCAGATTTGGCACAACTTTTAGGAATTATGTGTTTTCCAATATAGTAAAATTTCGTTACGATTTGACCTTCTTACTATTTTGATTCGAGAACCGCCGAAGAGTCTTATTTAGACGAAACGCTCGTCTAGCGTCCTTAATTACAACTATAAGAAGCAACACACATTGGTTTTCTTTTTTCATCAGTCTAATTGGTTTACAAAATTTGTGCATTTTGTTGATCAGCATTGTTATTTACAGATGTATGGCAAAGGTGTTTAACAAAATTTAAATACGTATCTTTAAAAGACGTATATTTCATAGTTTTAATATTAATTTAAAAATATAGCGAGTGGTCAGATTTTGAGATGCAAACAAACTTTTAAGTATAATAACAAAAAGATAGAACTTTTTGTAATTGAAAAAACCGAGATCGGGTGTATTACAACTTATCTTACTGGCATGCTTTATTTATTTTGAATTAGGTGAATACATGTATTAAATATTAACATGACGCATCTCGATACAAACATTGTTGTAGAAAGGGAGATAAATCAACTTATTTGTGGTAAATGTCTATTGCAATAGAACCTATAGTAATTTGATTATGTATATAATATAAAAACAAGAACACAACCGCAAAATCGCGGCATGTAAAATATATTATGATGTATTTTTTTGAATGTAGTTATTCCTAATACTACGTTTATTAATCGACATTATTCGTAACGGCAAGTGTCAAATATTTCATGCATATTCAGGAAAAAAATAATAATAGGGGAAACTGTTTTTGTCATGTTCAATTTGTGCTTGTTGCATTTTTTTTTATCAATCTCGTTTCATTTTGGTGCGTTGTGATGCTTTATTGTTTTTGCTATTTGTTGGTATTAGCCATTTGATAAATAATCAGACCATTGTAACGTTTCTTGTAGAGTAATTTGCCCTAAATTCTTCGCCTTTTTTTAAATTATAATCAGACATTAATTATATAAATATAAGATAACAGATGTGCATGACATAATTGCCGATGAGATAACTATTATACTCCACATTTATATACTAATCTGCATAATGTGATCAGGAGTATAATGTTAAAATATACCGTTATGAGCATGATAAATGCCATTCGATTTCAATGTGTCGTTGTGATTCAAGAAGACCCTCCAAATAAAGAATTCACAAACGAGAAAGTAACTAAAAATATACTTAATATAAGAAACTTTATGACTTATTGAATAGAAAGTAGTTTGTTATAAATATTGAATTTAAATGATAGTTGAAAAAGAGAATGTAAATAAAGATAAAATAAGTAAGAAACTAAAATAGAGTATCATGCATAGAATTATTGCTACAATTCCCCTCCATTGTTTGGTTTAATAGGTGTTATTTATTAACATACTTCTTCATTTATTTTTTTAACTGCATTACAGTTTTTCTAAGACAGATCTCCTTAATTATACATGTACTTTTTTCAAACAAAAAAACATATATATATATATAGGCGCCTGTTAAAACGTTTAAACCCGCTGCATTTGTTTGCACCTGTCCTAAGTCAGGAACCTGTTGTTCAGTAGTTGTCGTTTGTTGATGTGGTTCATAGGTGTTTCTCGTTTCTCGTTTTTAATATAGATAAGACCGTTGGTTTTCCTGTTTGAATGGTTTTACACTAGTCATTTTTGGGGCCCTTTATAGCTTGCTGTTAGGTGTGAACCAAGGCTCCGTGTTGAAGGACGTACTTTGACCTATAATGGTTTACTTTTACAAATTGTGACTTGGATGGAGAGTTGTCTCATTGGCACTCATACCACATCCTCTTATATCTATGACAATCATGTGTTATGTATGTATGGTAATGCACGTCGATGCACCAACCGATATAACATTAAGAATTATCAAATTGGTCAACAATCTGTATACGTTTAAAGGATGTGTATTAACTGCGGTAATGGTTCCATTTTGGGAATGACAGTCTAGAGAAAGCGGTAACATCCAAGTGGTAGCAATATTAACGTATTATTATACACTAATTATTTCGCGTGCACGACATACATTTCAATAACAACCCTCATCATGTAAGCCTCAGTATCAAATGCTTTGGTCAAATATACAAAGCATTTGGAAGCATAACAATAACACAAAAATCAACAATTAAATTAAGTAATAATTCATGGTGGCCATGGTATTTAAGGTGTTTATATAGAAAGCATTATTGGCGTAAAATTTTAATTAAAGCGTTAATTCTGCCCAGAATAAGGTGATTCGCCTTAATCAAAAGAAACCATCTTCGGTCAAAGTTGACCTTGTATGTTTTGATTTAACCCTTTAACTCCATTACCATTCATCCGACATTATGGCTGATTTGATAGGCTCCAAAATAGGCTGCTTAAGATGTCATTGAAATCGAATTAGTTTAGTGCTGGCATAGCAGGAGATGATTACACTTTCGACACAACTTGTCACATTATTGTGCTCGTGTTTGATTTCCAGCAAATTTGTGTGCCTGGTATTTTTGAGGGGAGGAGAGGGGGGGGGTAGTAGTGACCAATAGCAATATACAGGTGTAGAGTCTCCTTACTATGAGCATTCTGCGTAATCTTTAAAAGAGATTTCAATGCTTGTTACATGATACATTGATTTATGTAATATTTATTTACTCTGTTTAAAAGGCGACGTGTTTTAGCGTTTTGGAATGAATGAAAATAATTACATGTATAAATGACAATACCAATTGCCCAATTTACTTTCAAGTAATTCACACCAAGTACATTTTACATCTTGGTTTTTAGGTTGTCCATATTTGTTCCAAAAAAGATGTTCTCAAACGCTTCACCAATCAAGATGTCATTTTTTAGTCATTATAAATATGTTTGACTTTCAGTTGGCCAGGAAAAAGAAAAAAAGTTTTAAATGTCTTCACGAGTTTAATTTCAGGTGTACACGAGTGTTCATGGTTGCTTCTTATACAGAAAAAACAAACAAACTAAAATGGCCTTGAACATATGTCATGAAATTAATAACGTTTATAACTCCGAAAATTATTTTCAATCATAGTTACATTTGTAACTACAACATTAAACATATGTCTCTGTTTGCTTATTAAAGCTTTCTCCAATTAGTTTGCTTATTGTAATCCATTTTTGATCATCGCAAACTATATTTTAATTTATCAGATACAATGTACTCTATTATCATACATACAGACAAATAAGACCATATGCCTTTCTATTTAATTAACATATAGCGAAAATAATAAGTATCTAGTATTTTACATCGCAAAGGCAGCATCCATTTTCAGTTTTGAAAAATAATGAAGTTTCATTACAAAATTCTTGTAACCACGATTCTTTGGAAAATTAACAAGATCATTGGTGAGTCGTATTTCTGATTTACAATACTAGATATAATGGTTTTGATACAGTAAAAGGGTGTTGTCATTTTTTTTAAATGTTGCGATTATTCTATTTAGATAATTTTGTTTACAGTAAAATTTGAAAATTTCGGAGTAAGAAAAATAATTAAATGCATCAAGAAAAACATATGTTCATATGGAACCATGACCCGCTCGCAGTATCACAGTATCACAAACGTCATATCCATGTTCAGAAAACCACGAAATCTAGATCCCAAACCCTTAATTGAAGGGTACAATGGCATTTATGTCGTGTGTAAAACTTAAAATCATTCTAATTTATAATAAGTGAATTCAACAAAATTTCAGAAACCTACATTTCAGGAACCAATGGCAAACAATGACAAACTACTAACACCATTGCTGATTTATACTGATATGTACACCATTGCTGATTTATACTGATATGTAAACATTTTTTATTTAGTATGGTTGCTCAATCTTTAATTTCCATTGTAGTGTTTAAAAAAAAACATGTGATTTCTTAATAATATAAAGATCAAGATTTTGTTTAAACCATAGAAAACTGCTACAGAACTAAGTCATTTGGTGATTATTTAAAAATAAAATGCCTGTGGCATGACTTTGATTAGCTTTTTTTAACGAATGAAAATCAGATTTTCTGAAGTGATGAAGTGATAACAAAAGTTATATTTGATATGCCTTTTTATGAACAAAATCCTTTCAGAGTAACATGGAGTTGTCTCTCTTTGCTTGCTACACTTTTCGTGCTTAAAATACAATCAGAACGCGATTTCCATTCGGTTAATGAAATTAATTTTGAATATAATGTTAAAATAGTTTTAGCACTTGAATAGTTATATATAAAGAACTTTACATAAAGATAGTATTTTAAATATTTTGTTGACGTTATAACAAACTTTAAGACATAAAAAGTTAACATTTTTAAAAATGTTTCTGTACTCTGATTAAACAGATGTTGCGCCTATCATCAGAATATTTTAATAAGGAAATAACAACACATGGCAATCATCAGAATATTTTAACAAGGAAATAAAAACGCATGGCATTAAGACTTTGAAATTAAAATACAAACTTTACTATTCTGCAATACAAGATTATATGTCCTTGTCGACTCAATCTAGTGTTGTATGTAACACAGTACATGTTGTAAAAGGTCACGGAGATGGTTTATATATGTAGCTCAATGTTTCTTTTAATAAATTGGCAAGTATGACACTGTTATAGAGATACCGATACCCATGTAATAGAATGGCATAGGCAATATTCAAGTTGAAATATAAACTAACGGGGTTGAATTTACACTCAAGTAAAAAAAGAATAATACTATTTTCTTTTTCCGAACTGGATTGCAAGATGTAAACAAGAAGTGACAGATGTAAAAAGTGTTTAAATCTTTTCTGTGCGTACCTTATGATTACCTACACTCGGACATATTTAATGTGTTCACGTGCGTTCGATTTCATTATCCACACTCGGACGTCAACCTAATATCAGTGTGTATATACTCAAGAATTGGCCAAACCAACCAAATTGTCTATTAAAACACGTACACGTATCGATTTTTTAATTATACAAACTCTTTTCAATTTATCTGCAGGGTTGAAGATTAATTTGACAATAGACACACCAGACAAAGGTAATGTGCATCCGTTTAATACGCCTCAGTATTTGGATTTTGTTACTCCAATAAATTTGAGCAAGTATGGTGTGGATGTTTCTCAAATACGATCACTGTACTTTGATGTTAAAGCATGCCATGATGCGATGGTTATTTTAGCAAGCACGTCAAGTATGAATTCATCAAAACCATTTTACCAGCTTATTCTTTCTGGTGATTCCAATCATGACGGTAATTGGGAGCTGAACCTGAGACGTCGTGAAGATAAGGCCTTGCAACAGAATAGATATGACTTTGCTTTCAAAACTATTAATGAAGAAAGATACCGTCTTAATTGTAATGAGTATCGTACATTCTGGGTCAGCTGGAAGGAGGGAAAAATAAAGTTGGGAAGAGGAAAACAAACAGGCAACGATGAAATTTTCTGGTATACAGACAATGACCCCTTTGTAATAAGAGAGATAGGTGTAATAAACGCTTGGGGTTCAACTGGAAAATGGAAAATACCGATTACAATAAATGGTAAGTAACAGTTTCATATTTGATAGTATGTAGAATTTATCTTGAACGAGTTTTAATGGTGTTGATGAAACATAAAAATCTGTAGGTAAAACTTCTTTAAGGGTACAATTGTTTTTAAAAAAAAGTTCTTTAAAGTCTGATAGGTTCGCTTAGATACTTTCTGACGTAGAAATATTTTGTAATGGTAGCAACAGCAAAATCTGGTATTAAGGGAAATGATAGATTTAACGATATACATGTATTACTATTGATAGTGTGTGAGACTCATGTCTACAATATACATGTATTAATATTAATAGTGTGTGTGGCTCATGTTTACCACACATAAAAAGTACCAATAGTTAATGATGTTGTCTGCTCTATTTCGATTTTCTTTTATTTAGTTTTCCCATATATCTTATTTTTTTCCGAATTTGTGTTTATTTCGTGTTAAAAAAAAGAGATATGTGATATGGTTGCTAATGAAACAACTATCCACCTGAGTACAAATGACGTAGATTTAAGGGACTATTATAGGTCACTCTAAGGTCTTCAGCAATTATCAAAACCTTTACCGTATAGTCGACTATTAAAGGACCCGGCATGACAAACTGTGAAACATTTCAAACGAAAAACCAACGGTCTTATTTATGACAAAACAATAAACGAAAACAAAATATTACAGACAGCAACCAACCACTGAAATACAGGCTCCTGACGTGGAAGGCTTACTTGTTTCTGGGAAATAGAGACCGAATAAGAGATGATAATTGATTCCTTCTTTGTGAAAAATAGATTTTTTAAGTTTCTAAGAATTAAGGAAGATCGACCATGACGGAACTTACGTTTTTCTTTTTTTTTCTTTTTTTAAGGGGAGGGGTATTTTCGGCATTTAGATGGGGGGAAAACATTTGGGGAATTTGGTGTTGATGGCATGTCCATGTAAATTTCTATTCAATTTAATCATCAGTTCGGGATGAATTAGAGCTTGACATTTTAAATAGACACTTGTGTATTCTTGAAGACCTTTAGAAGTTATTTGGTTATTTTGGTCATCAATTTGCTGTCTCATTGACATATACCCGATATTGTTTTTTTATGTAAGTACAATTACAGTGAACGATGCGGTTCATAATCGATATTTCCAGAATATTTCTAGGAAATATCACTAACCTTTTCAAATGTTCAAATAATGACTGAAACAAATACGGTTTAGATTTTTTTTCCAGATCGGTTCACTGGACAATATAACAAATGTCAACGCAATGATATTAAAGCAAATATAGAGATTGTAGATTCAGTCCAGGCGATAAGTGTAATAAGGTGTTCTGCAATATGTGATCTCATGAAAAAGTGTATTGGATTTAACTATAAAGCGCAAGGGAAAAGGTAAGTACTAACATATATATGAGCCATTTCGATGTTAAACAACGGTAGCAAAACCGCTGTATTTAATATCAGTTGTTATTGTTGACGGGACGGTAGCAATCAGTGTAGTGTATTTAGGAGACGACCATTTGATTTTCTGAGGGGACAGAGATGGCAGGATAATTTTGCAAATAACTTGACATGGAAAGAACTGAAAATAAATAAATGCGCAAGACAGGATGAAAAATAAAAATTCTGCATCACAAATTACAGGAAACAAATGTGTAATAAAATAAGCGTGCACAGCAAAAGATGAAAATAAAACTCATTTCAAGTCTCTATGACTTACGGTAAATGATTTGCAATGACTAACCATTTATATCGAAAATAAAATGGGAAAGTAACCCAATCAAATGTTACCGGATCCCTACTGTCCAAATTGAACAAATCATCATGAGAGAGCAAAACAAAAACATTTTCAGTTTCCTTGTAGAAGCGATATCAAGACAAACAGTATATGTGGAGAAAACTCCATTCTGGAAAAGTGTTCGATTGAAAAGGACGAGGTTCAAATGCGAGATAACTGTTAGCCGGAAATCATATACCAAGTATTTTTTTGACATTTTGCGAAAGCGACTTTTCAGAAATAAAGTGGCGGAAGGAAAAAGAAATTTATCAGAACAAAATAAAACGCCTTTCCACGAGAAGGTGGAAAGATCTAAAAATCTTGTTTCCAAAAACAAAATATAAAAAAGCCTGTTACTACTACCACGAATGTTGGAGTAAAATCAAGTTAACGATTCTCTGCGTAAGAAACAATTGTAAGAAGTAGTAATAGCAATTTTAAGGACCGTATAGTACATGTACGTTACACGAAAAAGAAGTCCATTGACGATGCATCTTTAAACCTTCCAATGTTTGATTGGACTTCCATAAGTTAAAGTATCAAATAAAATTCGAAACTTTCAATGTGAAGGATTTACTTTTTATGTAAGATAGTAATGATCTGTAAATCATCTATGCTGAACCATTTATAATCAGTGTCTATCTGACAAGTAATGCCAAGTGGTATGATGTTGTATATGAGCCAACTATCTACTAGAGACCAAGGGGGTAGCACGTAAACAACTATAAGACACAGTGATACCTTTAACAATGAGCAAATTCAATATCAGATATCCACAAAAAAGTACCAGAATGAAACAATTAAAAAAAAACAATGGCATGAGTTATGCTTGTTTGTTCATTTTTTTAAGATCACGTGTTCTGTCATTGATATGCTAAGCTACAACATCTGTATTGGTTTTTCTTTATAGATGTGCGTTACTGAGTGCTGGTGAAAATGTTCTGACAGAGATTCCCAAATTACATGTACCCGGTTGGCAATTTTACACGAAGTGTTTTGAGAAAAAGGAAGTGTGCTTAGGCTGCTTAATATAAATTATTATTTAATACAGCCAAAAAATCAAGATTTTAAATCTAAAAAGAAAATTCTTTTTATTGTTTTTTATTTTATATGGTAAACTCAGAAACATCTTACTGCATTAATTCATGGCACACTGATAACAAGTGCATGCATAACTAAATGACTGTCAACACTAAAACAAAACTGAGGCGCTATTATAAATAAAAATTAATAAAAGATGTGTGATATACGACAATTACACAGTAACCGAACGTCACGAATAACCAATACATTCAGATGAAAACAAACAGACCGACCAGCTATAGTAGAGAGGTGTAAAGCCCTAAATCGTCCCAAGCCTGATAGTGAAATATGATACCTATTATCATTACAAAAAATGCGGAAATACAAAGGGGGATATTCACAACTTATACATCGAAAAAACTGACAAACCATCATGGCAAAAACAAAAATGACGAAAAAGTCCACAAAACACTACATAGAAAACTAAATGATTGAGCAACACGATACCCACCAAAACAGGAGTCGAACTCAGTTGCTCTAGAATGGTAAACAGTACCTGATCCACATGTGGTACCCGCTATGTTACTCATGTTCAAACCCGATGAAAAGTCGCATTCGGTTATGACACATTCGAGGAAAAGAGGACGGGACTGTGGTAACGACAATTGTAACATTTCCGTGATCATCAGTGACAAATATATTATATAATGGTCAATCAACTCGTGAAAGCGTTCTTACGATGTAAAACTTTCGAAGGGATAACTTTAACTTCACCATTTGGAACCTTTAGTTCGATAGCTTCCTCTTTATCAGCAACCCTCTACCAATGAAAGGAAATCATTCTATGAAACGCAATCAACTATCTCGATTTTGGCGGTATTATTCCGATTTCCATGCTTCAATCCGAATTCCGATATCGTGTTCGTAAAACAAACACAAATCCTGATTTTCATAAATTCTACCAGCAAAATTTGTTGATTTCTCATTTTAAAACTTTCGAAGGGAAACAATCTTGATCAGCGATAATTAACCAATCAAAATTGGTATTTTCTATGATCACGTTTTCATCTCTTAATCTATGGGGGTATTGTTAATGAGTAAATATTCGTCTTGTATGACACTTTAGAGTTTTATTCATCTGTCTGTATGTCAGAACTGTAAAAATCCTGATCATGGTGGAAGTATTAACACTTACATGAAGGTTTTTATGCCGCCTAAGAAGTAAGGCATGCTTTAATTCAGAGGCTTGTTGACAAATTTAAGATGGGGATACCACAAGCCTTTTTGCAAAGTCTGATCACGGTGGCCTTGCATGACGTTTCAAAGCATGCGAGGATTGTTCAACTTCACCAGAAGTCCTTCACAGCTCAGAACACTACCAAGTCTTTCGGTAACTTCTTTGAACGACCAGAAGATGAGCCATGAACTCTAAAAGGTCAAGCAAGCATATTCAGATAATACAAAAAGAAGCAGATTGTTGACAATGTTAGTGTATTCAGTATATACATAATCTAAAAGATCTCTTCTCGTACCTATGTGTTCCTCAAACTCAACTTTAGATGTGCCAATCGTCTTTGTGTTACCTATTATCGCCCACAAATAACCATATTCGTTTTTCAATTCCAGTTAAAAAAAACACCCTTGGTGATTACGTGGGTCTTTTAGAAAAGATTATCTTCTACAGCATTAATCTAATTGACCATATCCCTCAATCCAAGCATAACCACTCTTCTATAAATCAACCCCGGTAAAACAATCACGTTTTGCCTTGTTTAAATACCACTTCTAGTAGACTATACAATTATCCTGGTGAGTGTTTGAATCAATTCAATTAGAAAAACCAAAATGATATGGTATACATGTACGGTAATTGGTAATCATACGTATGGATCATTATGCAATGGACAGTGTATATTAAAGGTACTTACAAAAACAAGAAGATGTGATATGATATATAGCCAATAAGACAACTCTCCACCAGAAACCACATGACGTAAAAGTTAGCAACTTTAGGTCACCGTAAGGCCTTCAACAATGAGTAAAACCCATACAGCATAGCCATTTATAAAAGTTCCCGAGATCACAAATGTAAAACAATAAACGAAAAACAAAATGATATACAGTAACAAACTACAACAATTACAGGATTATAATTTGGGACAGACACATACAGAATGTGGCGGGTTAAACATGCTTGTTTGCTCATTTTTCATGTAAACAAGTATTCATAAAAGATTCTATACAGAAACATACAAGTGATTAGGACAAATTGCAAAACAGCTTAGTCCTGAGTATCCAATATGCTGTTGAAAGTAACGGACAGTTTACTTTGATCATTGGCGATTGGAGGCCTCTGTGGCTGAGTGGTCTAAATAGTTCAACTACTGTACCACTAGCCTGTCAACGCTGAGGCTGTAAGTTCTGGCCCCGTAATTGGCAGGTACGTCCGACTCTAATCTTAATTGACCAGGATTGCCAGATTTCCTACCGAAGGTCGGTGTTTCTCTCCGGGCACTCTGGTTTCCTCCACCAATAAAAACTGACCGCCACAAATAGCGCTAAAAGTGGTATTAAAACACAAAAAAAAAATCAATCAATCAATCAATCAATCAATTATTGACGATCGATAACAATGATCTAACGCAAAAACACTCTGACTGACCTTTCAGTGTGGAAGTAAAAGTCGACGATATCACTATATACACAGATCCAATCATACTTTGGTATTTACAATAAATGTTTATAGCACTTTGTTTCAAATGTTCTTTATATAATCAAACTCAATTTTTTTTTAAAGAATATGTGCTCAGAGCTAATGTATTCTAAGCAATTTAATATATTTTAGTCGTACGCATTTTGTTAGAAGCGCCTCAGAATTTGAAAGGAAATCGTTTCGTTCTAACTATATAATTTTATGCATGGAATCAAATATGAATCATGCAGACATGTAGAAGACACGAGCGATCAGATTTTCATCGACATTCCAGTATTACGCTACACGTGGAACATCAGTCCTCTTGGAACATCATTTCTCGTGGCACATCATTCCTCGTGGAACATCATTCCTCTTCTTGCGAACGGGTAGTTAACGCGCAAAAGAATAGGGACAATTTTTCATGACTTTATTTCACAATAGGAGAAAAGTTTTTCAATCCTTTGGTTATTAAAATTACAGTTGCATAGCTTCAAGTGTATTCTTCAAAGTTCTTGTAATGATATATCTTATTTCTCAACATTTCGGAAAATGCAGAATAGTTAAAAAAAATGATACGACAGACATTCTTAACCAAAAAACATTAATATTATCGGAAGTAAAGCAATGCATTGCCTTTCAGATAAAAATCAAATCAATTTGGTAAGAGCTGTCATTCGAAGCCATATTTACAAACAAAAAAACAACATGTAAAACTGTCATTAACAGTAAGTATCTATTTCCATGTTATTTGTTTTAACATTTTACCCAGCAACTAGATATGCTATTAACCAAAAGTTCCAAGTGATGAAGTTGAAATTATCTATTTGAAAATTTTACGAATTGAAATATCTACTTCAAGATGATGACGGATATGTTCCATTTGTCATTATCATTATCCCGTCCTCTTTTACTCGAATGCGACCTACCGAACTATCATTGGTTTTGTATCTACATGAGCAACACGACGGAAGTTACATGTGGAGCAGAATCTGCTTACACAACTGGAGCACCTAAATAATCCCCTGTTTTCGGAGGGGTTCGTGTTGCCAGTCTTTAGTTTTTTATGTTGCGTTTTGAGTACTGTTGTTGGTGTTTTTGTCGTTTTGAATTGATTGCCATGGTATTGTCTTTTTGTGTGTTCGACTTTTGAGTTTGAATATCCCTTTTCGTATCTTTAACCTCTTTTTTTGCAGATTTTATCATACATTTTCAACCTAGAATAGCAATGCTGGATGATTTTGATATGGTTCGTGAATCACAACTTATTCCATTCGAAAAATTTTGTATGAAGTCCATTTTATTTCAGTTGATACGTTCGGTCGTGCATGTTCACACCATATGAACATGAGTATCAGGGGTGTGCTCCTTATACAAAAAACTGTTCCAACAGGGTTGTGAGGGAGAATGACTGAAATCAACACTATCCCGATTTGATTTACTGATACGATATTACTGAGTCTAGACTTACTAGCGACATGTTTTCGCGGCCTTAGAAATATTAGATACCAATAAAGTCTTTTGATCTTTAATTTTTCCCATTTTGTCCTTTCCCGATTTTGACATTTTGGCTGCGTTTGAATTTTCATTGTGATGATGCATGCATAGCAGGAGAAACTTGCCGGTCTTACTACTTTTAGAGTTCATGCGATTCACTTAGTTTTTTGCTGGATACCTTTATTTGTCCCTTCCTGGTCGATTTACGAGAAAAAAACATCAGTAAACTACTGTCCTCTTAATTTATGAGCTGTTACATGTTTCTCATGCCTATCAAAATACAAATGTTTCCAGAAATCCAATTGCTACTGAAGTCGTACCTCGACTTTCAAAGGAGTAGGCCCAGTAAGACCCCTTTTTGGCCCCAAAACATAGCAGTTCTACAAAATTGTTAAAATGTAAATTTTTAGCTATTTATTGGAAAGAAGAATACTTATGTTACATAAATATTGGCTGTTTTTTGATAATACAATGCACATGTATCGGGTACTAGCATCACTTAGTCATGCTAAATTACTGAAATCTTCGAAATTTTAGTATTTTGGTAAATTTTTAGACCCTTTCCGTCTGAAATGGAAGTGGCCGCATTTGTGTCCATTCTTAATATTTAAATGTAAGTTGTATTTGATGATAATACATAACATATATAAAGGTTGAGAATGAACACGGATGCGGCCACTTTCATTTTTGACAAAAAAACATCTGAAAAGTGACATATTATGGCATATTTGATAGATTTTTCATATTTAAGCTTGAATTTGAGCGTCTTTAATGACTAAATCAGTTCAAATCTTTCACATAAACTAATTGAATCGACTGAAGTAGACACTTAAGTGTTTAAAAAGTGTCCAAAATCTTTCATCAGAT